TTCATTAATTGAAGCCTGTATCTCTCAGGGCTCTCATTTTGCTGGGGAGCCAAGCCAGGCTGAAAGATATCTCATTGCCAGGTCATTTGATCTACCTGCTTTTAATATTGGCAGAGAATTGATTTTTACCCACTTGTCTCCATATTGTTGTTATCCCAAGACCTACTAAAAATCAAATTACTTCTCTGCCTCTTTTAAGGCAGATACAAATGAGCTGATTTGAAATCTCTGAGGTTAAGAGATCCTGTTTACCACCCTTCTCTGTTATTTTTGGAATTTAAAGTATTTCATCACCTCTCTGAGATGTGAATAGTTCATCCTGCTCTTTACCCAGTACAGAATTAGATTATTTACTTAACATCTAAACTTTTCTGCACTGTTTTCACAATTCTGCTATTTCACACTGACGAGTAATTGTCAAGGGATCGGAACTGGATTCTGAGGGTTTTTTAGATGTCAGTATCATGAGTTAAAAACCAAAGGACAATGAAAACATAATTTACAAGACATGCATTTAAACAGCAGAGTATTTTCAGTGCTTGTTTTGTAGTTTTTGGCTTTGCAAACTTTGGGACATGTTCTGGACTTTTCTCTACCGAGTGCAGGAAAACGATGCCGACACATGAGATTTTGCACTAGTGCTTGCAGTAACAGTGCTACAAGATGCTCAGTGTTGAAAGAGCATCAGGGAAGTTTTCTCATGGGCAGTGGGGCTCACGAGTCGGGCTTGTGCCCATGCCATGGTGAACAGGAAGAACTGCTTTTCACAGAATCATAGAACGGCTGGGAGTTGCTCAAGCAGCAATGCCTAGAGCACGTCGCACAGGATTGTGTCTAGGCCAGTTTCAAACATCTCCAGAGAATTCAATCCACAACCTCTCTGGTCAACCATTTCCATTTTCATTCTAAGGACATCTGCATCCTTGAAGAAGCTGGTTCATTTACGGCACTGGCATTGGGTCTGTGTGCGGTTCATAGTGCCAAAAGAGAGCCCTGCCAGCCCCCAGTCCCTCCTCCTTCACCTGCCGCCCAGGCTGCTACCTGAAAGCATCAGCACTGATTTCACAACTTGTTGCTTGCGGAGCCCCAAATAGAGAAAACCAGACTCCAGTATTTCTACAGCCTGTACTCCACAGATGAAATCTCTGCCAAAAACAACTCTCAGGATATCCCCAAGGTCCCACAGCATGAAATATGTACCAAGTAATCTCCACATGCAAATTTTTTTGGAACCGAAAGCAAGTTAATCTAATGTTTCTTCTCACCATCCAGCTTAATTCATACTTAATTATTTCTGGAATACCTATAATTATTTTAATTTAACGATATTTAGCTCGTTCCTTATTACTGTTGCCTGTACTAGGAACTTACTTGCATATTTATTACTCTGAACCTGGAAGGGACCTGAAGGGGAAACTTCGTGTTTATCAGAAATCGTCCGTATTTTCAGTGGACAGATTTCTTACAGATTTCATCTGTCTGGGGAGGAGGGAACATGGAGATGTTCCTGCCTGGGGTTAAGCACTGACACATCTCCGCGCAGGCAGCCCCCAAAAGCTCGCCGTGAGCTCCCTCTGCCGCTGACCGCGCCGCGGAGAAGCCTCTCCTGGGCTGGGGAGCAGCGGTGCTGCAGCCAGGACGAGCAGTGCCGCTGCACCTCGAGGTGCTCACGCAGAGCTACAGATAAGCAGCTGGTTTGGGCAAGGGCTCCGGGTGCGCGAGGGGCTCGGGGCAAGGCAGGCTGTCCTGCCCCACCGCCCCACGGCCTTGGGACACAGTTTTGTGGGAAGCGCCAAGCTGCAGGTGTGGTGATGGCCTCGTGCTCAGGTTTTGGTGTTCATGGGTTCCTGGGTTTCTAGATTTCTGGGTGCTGGGGTTTCTGGGCACCAGGGTTTTAGCATTTTTGGATGCTATGGTTTCTGGAAACCTGGGTTTCAAGACTTCTAGACTCCTGGGTTTCTGGGTTACAGGATTTTTAGGTGCTGGGGTTTCTGGGTTCCAGGAGTTGGGGGTGCCAGGCTTGCAGAGCACTTGGGTTCCTGGATTTTTGGGTGCTATGGTTTCTGGGCACCTGGCTTTCTGCCCAGCAAGGCCGTTCAGTCTGTGCCCAGGACTCTTCCACACCAAGCTCCTCCTGAGCAGAGCCTGCCCTGGGGGAGGTAGCAAGGAAGAAAAACAGCCCCAACCACCCCAGGCCCTGACACAACTGTGCCAAGGGCAGCAGAGCAGGCCACACTGCCCCCAAGGCACCTGCCGGCTGCCCCACAGCTCAGCAGCAGGTCCCAAATCCCACAAGCCCTGAGCGAGGCCCCTTATTGCCCCCTAATTAGCGGGTAATTATGGCAAAACAAGTGGCAGCGGTGGCGGCGGGTGCATTTAGTCGCCACCGCCATGGCTGGGGGGGGTTATAGTGTGCTCCAGTTCAGCGCCCTGATCTGGGCCTGCCTCGGCGGGGGGGCGGGGGGGG